TACTTATAATATTTTTATATATCACTATGCTTAAAATATTACATTGTATAATTTACTTCATTCTATATTAAAATTTATCACTGTATTCACATATACGAGGGTAAGACTATAAATAAAGGAATATTTTTATTTCCAAATCAATTAGAAATATTTTAAATGTTGAATAGAGATAAATTATCCCTCGTATAATATTCTTATCACTTATATACTTTTCAATTCATGTATATATTGACACATTGTAAACCGAAGACGTGAATCAACGTATTCTAATTTTAAATAATTTGTAACGCAACTAAAACTTTTATAAAATCAATGTACGATCTACATTGTGTTAATTTCTTGAGTATGTATATCTTATAGATTTATTATTTTAATAAAAAATTAAAGATAAATTGCATTCACTCACCGATCAATGCGCAGCAGCGGAGTTGTCGTTCTGTTGATCTGCAAAGCTCATCTATAACACACAAAAATAAATCCAGATTAGAACAGCGTTTTTAAAATAATTAATATTTATAAAATAATAATTGTACATTCAACTCTTTAATTTATTTATCTATGCAAATATCTAATAAAATATTTATTGAAAAAAAGTTTAATTATTTGGAATAATAATATTATATGTATTATATGTATGTAATATTATATGTATAATAATATTATATGTAAAAACTTCTAATAATCAAATATGAATATTAAATATTGCAAATATTTTATTAAATATTTTACTAAATATTTTTATTTTGTGCATAGCATTTTGCAAATAATAAATAAATGATCACTTACTCTAAAGCTGCTCCGCCGGCGCCTGATGCTCCTCCTGAGTCTCCTCCTCCTCTCAGTCCTCGCAGCCAGGCAGTTTTCCAAAGCACTCACACGCGATCGCGACGCGAGTAGTTTTCACGACACTTTTACGCTTACACGCGACAAACACTTACACATAACGCACGCATTGCACGCGTGCATTTTCAAAGATAAAAATCGCGCGATACTTTAAACGGCATTCCCGACGTAACAAATTTAATCAAAAAGCCCGAAGGCGACGTTACACGCAACGCGAATACGATAATTACTTGATGTCAATCGTGCGCAAAAGCGGAATTGATCTGTAAAATACAAAATCGAGCTTAGATTGGTAATGTGTTAAACATAATTAATATTTTATAAAGAAAATATTATATGTATTAAATTTTTCAATTATTTCTCAAAATATTTAATAAATTTAATAAATTATTATAAACTCAAAATATTTAATAAATTAAATTACTTATATATTGAGAAAGATCTAATTTTTAAAATAAATATTAAAAACTTGAATTCAATTTGATTAAAACTTGGAAAAACTGAAATTATTTGCGTTGATGTCATGCAAATGCGTTTTTAAAGTTTTATAATGTAAAATTTAATTTTATACTAGCACTGAAGAAAGCCTGATAGTAGGCTGAACGTTTGTTGATTGTAGTTTGTCTTCAAAATATATACGCACGACCATCCAGCGTTGGCTTTTGGCTCTTCATTATATTGTTTTAATTCTCTTTATTTCATTGTTTTAATTCTATGAGGCCTTTGTAATACAATTTATTTTAATATTTTATATACCGTACGACAAGTTTTTAGAATTTATTAATTGGTTGTTGCATATAGATGTCTGATTTAAAAAAATTTTTTTTTGGTGGTTAATTAACACATCCAAAAAATTGTACAACAAATGATATATTAGTCTAATAACTATGCATTTTTACATTATTTTTAAATAAATATATGTTAGATTCAAAAAATACAAAATATATATACATGTATGTGCTAACTCGGTTAAAGTATTAAAAAATCTTGACAAGAAATGAAAAAGAATTATTGATACTACAGACACCTATCAAAAGCATCTGTTTCAACAGGCAGAACCTATCAAGCATCTGTTGCAACAAGTTATTGGAAGCTCGCCGGTAATTGTCAGGCGAACGACCGTAATCTCAGATTAATTGAACTCCTCCTTCCTTACTAGAAATCCTAATATATAATAGTTTAACATGGCACGATACAATAAATATACGCTGAGACGCGTGGCTTTTACAAATAAAAATGATGCAAATTATTTAGAAATTAAAAGTACAAAAATTTCAACTTAATATCTATAAAGTTATAATCAGATTTGGAATCGCATTATTGTAAGTGAATTACGTTCTTCGAGAAACCCTAATTTGAACTCAATACATTCGATAGAAATATCTCGATGTCAAAGCGAATATTTTATATCGTAGAAAAGCAATACGAAAACCATCACTACTGTTGGATTTCTCTGAGCCGATGTATACATCCATGATATACCCATCGTTTTTAGTTTTGATCCTAGATACATAAAACCGAGAGCAAAATGGGATGGAACAACTGGCAAAAATATCACAACGCGATTTATTCCTTCTTTTACCTACATGCGGATATTATTAAACAAAATCTGCTGTTATATTCGCTAATTTAGTTATGTAACTACGTAACATGAAATTTTAGAAAGATGTTTAATATAATCAAAAGTTTTTATAATAAAATTAATTTTCATACAAAAATGAAAAATGAGGCTGATGGATTCGTGAAAAAGCTTCGCGGTCTTTTTGAAATAGCCGATTTAATTAGATTTGCAAGACATTTGTTATTTTAGCATAAAATTGAGATAAATTACATCATTATTTTAATATTTACAACAAACCTTTGTGTTTTATCTCTCACATGAATCATTTTCCAAAACACACGGCGAGCGGCTCAAACATAACCAAATGCGTATACTCGCACATACTCGGTTTTAATAGTATAATGCCGTTACATTAATTGTAAGAGTCGTCTTATACGGAAAGAAGCTTTTGCATATTCCAACCTTATATCACCCACGCGCTTTATTATAAATGTGCAGGCGGCACAGAGAGCCAAAACAGGAAACCGGAAAAGCCAAGCGAGCGCGCCTGGCTCTCGTAGGAAGAATAAAAGCGCAGTATAAATTGGGGTAAAGCCACTGGCTCCTTTTGTGCCCCATGAATGCAATTCAATAAAGTGTTTAGAGCGAAAGCGGCACAAAAGAAGTCTGGCGATAAATGACAATTTGCTGAAGTTGGCAATTACGGTGAAGTACGCCGTTGCTGAAAAGTGGGCTTAATGGAAAGTTGTTAGAAAGTAGGCAACAATAGGAGATAGACTGATAGACATCAGCGCGCGAGTTCTATCGTGATTTTTCTCCGAGGTAATTTACGCGGTCAAGTGTCCAATAGAGAGCCTTCCACAATTTTATGCTAAAATAACGAATTTTTTTTAGAAATTTAATTTATTACGGCTCTTATCATATTCCAGTTTTATCCCCAGTCAGCCAATTTATAAATTTTTGCAGGCTCACAGTTTATATATTTGATAAACAAGATTTATAAAGCTGAACTTTTTAGTTAATGTAAAAATATTAGTTGCAATTTTCAAACATTAATTCTAATCGAGCGCAAATCACACTAAAAGTAGTTTTTTTTCAATTAAAACAGCAGTTTAAACTTTGTTCAATTTTTAATCGTTCTTAAAGTAATTTTTATAATGGAACTGTCGTTTTTACAATTATTTTCTAACTTTAACAAAATTAAAACTTAAAGATATTCGATAAAACATTGGGACTCAGAATTATTGGCAGGTGTTTGCAATTTGATATTTTAATTATATTTTAATGGAATTATCTGCTATATTTATTCCGTATTTTAGGTAGAGAAAGACTACCTATATAATGCAATATCGGTTTTTTGTCAAATTATTTTTGGCGAGCTTTTTGAGAGGAATTTTGCATTGTTCTATAAACGTTCTTTATTCGTGAGTGTTCTCCTATAAAACTGATAGCAGCTGTGAAAGTCTCGGTTGACAATAATGGCTCTAACGAACTGGCGTCGCCTACTTGCGACGCATCATTGAGTTTTCATTATCGTAAGCTGACAATACTATCGAATAAGTGTCGATATAATATCGCGCGTTGGATGACGGCGTATCCGTTTGCCAAGAGGTTTCCGTCCGTGCTCGTTACCCGGTATTTCTTTTTTTTATCGTCTTGTCACACGGATAGAAATGGAGCGGAACGGGAGAAGAGACCTTCTGAGTCTAATGAGCCCCTCGTTACTAGCCGAGTGTGGATGAGTCTCACCTCGTTGTCGAGCAGCGACATTCTTAAGTGTGCACTCTTGCAGCCGAGAGAAGCCAACGACCATACATCTTTTTTTTTTTTAAAAAAGAAACATATTGCTTCGCCGACATTCGCGTCTAATTGCAACCTAAGCAATTTAATAACTGTTCAATTCCCGGGTTCAATTCCCGGCTTAGCCACTCGCGCCCTGATATTTTTTCTCTATTCCCTTCTTTCTAATAATTCCTATCAGTACATACTGATTCTCCATATGTGAGAACAATGTACTAAAATTTTCGTACACTTTAAGTATCTCGAACCAGAGATCGGTGTACAAATTTAACTGTCTCACGTAGACTAACAAATTAATTTCTTTAAGAAAATTATAATTTCGCACTAACATCCCGCGACGGCTCTCTATGCCTTTCTATTATATTAATTGATTGTTATCATTTGAGCCATTTCTTTATATGTGTTAAATTGTTTTAATAACTGTTGCTCTGATCTTGACAAATCCGAATTTTATCCGCGTATTTGTCTTCAATATTGTCTCTCGTTTCAAATAAAATTGGAAGGTGCTACGTAGATCGTGATATTCACTGCTTAAATTTCCTCGCGCTGATCAATATACAGACTGTTCAAATGTGTACGTCATTGTCAAGAATTCCCTTTATGTGCGCATCATATTGAATTTACGTTTCGAACTGCGCGCATAGTGCGCGCTACGTATGTGACAGCTTTCTGTCTATATCGCTTGAAGTTTCGCTCGCTTCTGCTTGAATAGGCAACGATCGAGCGGATCCGTGAAAGGCAAATACACAAAATATAGGTTACATATCGCTCCGTTGCGCTTTTATGCTTTTCGAACATGAGGTCGCAAATATCGAGCAGTTTTTTAAGACACGGGCATCTGCCCATACGGGAGGTGAATTGTTATCGACGTTATCTTCCGTAGTTTGCGTCCCGTCGAGTTCTTGGTCAAATCTTTTTTCCAGGATGATTGCTCGTATGTTTGGCAAGTTTCCGCCGAGGAACGTTGCGAATGGGTAAAGAACACTGAAGACTGCTACTCAAACTCGGTGATTCAGTACACGATACTGTTATTTTGTCACTTCAAATCTGAAGATGTAGCGCTGTTTATTACCGGCTTGGCCCTCGTGCTTTTATGGCTCGTCTATTTATTTTTAATCTTGGGAACCACAGCGGATAATTTGTAAGTTTCTTTACGTTAATACTTATAAATCTATATTAAATTTCTCAAATTAGGTGTTATTTTCATAGTGTGCAGTTTTTCTTGTAATAAATAAGCACAGATTAATAAATAAGTTTGTAAGATTATTCATCAAATTTAAATAATTGGAATATTCATGATCGACTATGAGTCCGGATTATGAGAATAGCGCGGCAATGAAATTGTGCCTTTTCTTGAAGTACCAAAATTGAAAACTTTGGCCAAGTTCAATTCCGTTGAAAACGTGTTACCACCTACAGAATATAGATGATTACGTAACTACAACGAATTTTGACTTTTGGCAACTAACCAAGCCAATAACCAAAAGATTCATGTTTCCCCGTATTTCAACCGTCTATATCCTATAGAGCGGTTTCTTTCAAAATGATAAACGAAGGTTTCCCTATTCTTTCGAGTTATACAAATATCAAGGAAAAATGGCAGATTGCCACGCAAGAGTGCATCCAATAACGGGGTTTTGGACGGGATCTGGGAACCCCAAAAACCGGGATCTCGGTCATATTTTGTCGATATTTAAGTATATATGTCGATGTCGACATAAAAATATCGCCATTTCTCCATCCAATAAATAAATAAATAAATCAATAAATAAATATCTAAGAGTTTATCGCAATAACATAAAGTAATGCAAAGCTGAAATAGCAAACAAATTAGCATATATCGTGTATATAAAGCAAGGATTACAAGTTCTGAATTTACGCCAACTTATTTAACCAACTCTTAGTTGAACAAGCATTTGTATTCAATATGTTGCTTGCTCTTATATCTCTGTTCATCATCATCTAAATCCCTGGTACTTTCAAGAATCGCTGAGAAGTTTTGTAACATTTATTTTGCTGCGCTTAATGGCAAAGAAACGGCAACGATACTTATATCGCGGAGTTTGTCGGAGTTTAGCTTTGATCTGTAGCCAGTATAATAGTTAAAACTCGGTTAAGAAAGTAAACTTACTTTCCTGCAAAGAACATACTCTTCACATTTAGCGGAATAGCGAATGCTACTGAATGCGGGTGTATACGATGTTAGTTCAATAATGCGCATATCAACGAACATTACGAAAGTTATTTTCTTCCCAAACCGACTATTTTATATTTTATGTTCTATTAACGAAATCGTTATATCAATAAACGTTTCCTCAACTCTTAAACGTACAAAATTTTCTATATAAATCTATTTTCTAGATAATACGATAGAGAAAAGTGTAAAGTAAAAATAACCGATAATAATATTTAATAAAGCAATACAATCTTTAATTATATAAAATAAATAAATAATTATGCGCGTATATATTTTATGTAGTACGAGATTAATAAATCGAAATTCATGTAGAATATTTCACAACGGGAGTACCTCGATTGTGATGAAAAACAAGGAAAGTTTAATTTGAACCAACAATTTAATTCGAGAATTTAATTTAAATCTTTAAGAGACCCTTCATGTTCATTGCAATTAAGAAACTTTTCAATGAGAATTTAATTACGACGCAAATACCGAAACGTTAGATATAAATAGATGCTGCGAATTAATCGTTTGCGACATTTTTATTACAGTTTTTGCCCAGCACTGGCGGTAATAGCCAGTGTAATGCGTCTATCGGATAACATCGCCGGAGTGACGATATTGGCATTCGGAAACGGCGCGCCTGACATCTTCACGTCCCTCGTGTCGAGAGGCGACAAACCGATAATAATGTTCACCGAATTAATCGGCGCGGGTGTTTTCGTGACCTCGATGATCGCCGGCTCCGTCGCGATAATTAAGCCCTTTAAAGTTTCGCTCAGATCTCTCATGAGAGACGCCTGTTTTTATATCGTTTCCGTCTGCTGGATAAGTTACGTGGTGTGGGACGAGATGATTTACCTCTGGGAGGCCGTAAGTACGTCTATTCTTTTTACTCAATTTCGATAGGGCAATATTAGTCGATTCTTTTTCCACCCTACCGCTACATACTACAATTTTGTATTTTCTTTTTGAATGTAAATTGATTCGATCACAAATATGGCAAAAATAAATATAAATGTTACATGTTTTTTTATTTTTTTTTTTTGTTTTTTATCTTTTCACATTTTTGCAATCAATGGTTTGCAACTGACGATTGTGACAAGCGCAATCATCGTGAAACAATCTCTCAACTGAAAAAATATCCAAATTGTGAAACTTTTTTCTCTTTATATCGTATACCAAATATTATCGATCATCAAAGATACTGAAAATAGATATGATTAATTATTATTCATACCTCGGATGTTAATTTCGACATTTCACGTTTAATTATCTAAATAGGGTAAACGTATCATTCCAACTATTCCATTTTCGCATCCTGTGCGACCGAACAGATGATAGGTTCAAATTAAATCAATAACTTCCACAAACTATAATTCGACTAATCTTCTAACTGGCAATAAAATGACGCGTCTAAACTGGAAGTATCGAACGAATAAACTCGCATATATCATCTGCTTGTGATATTACGATATATTATACTTAAACTTTTATACACATTGGGGTATAATTTATCATCTGTTATTCCAATCAACCATTTAAATGTATAATTTAAGGTCGGGCAAAATAATTAAACTGCGGTACTGATTTGATTAATATTTTGTACAAGAATGGTCAGATTGATATTTGATAAAATTTATCGATATTTCGCACATCCAAATCGGAAACGTCGCAAATAGCTAGAAAGTTTATCTGCGGGAAACCATAAGTGGTTTCATTCTGGAATAACGATAATTCTCCGGCGAATTTAATTAAGCTGCCCCACAGTCTCTCTTCACCACCTGCCGGCTGGGCTTGCAATCTGACTGTCGATGAATTTTTGCGGGATTCCGCGGCAAGAAATCCGTTTCAACGGGGAAGCAGAGATTATTGTTACAATGAATAAAGTCCGTGAAAATAATTTTGCGCCTGCACAAAGCGACATAGGCGCGGACTTTATTAAGTCGCGCATAAAACTGTTAAATACCTCGAATCGTTTCATATCGCGCGACGCGATAGCAAATAGACAAACAGACGAAATGCAATTTCATTCAGTGCATATAGCGCTTGATAATTTCCGTGAGCAATGCCAATTTTAATAAACATATTTAAGTAAATACATACATTTCGCTCAAGAAACTTAGTACGCACATCTATTTAGTTTACTTTATTAAGAATTTTTCAAAAGAATTCTGTTTCCGAAATGATTTTATTCGTATATTAAAAGAAAAAAATCAATAGATTGTTTTTTAATTAAGTAGAAAAGAAATGGCGTCATCCAAGTTTTTTTGCATAATATTATAGATGTAGTCCATTCATTATCTTAGTGTAGGGGAATAAGTGAGTCTAGCAACGATTAATACTTTCTAATGCTGATACATTTTAATTGCAGGTTTTATTCTGATCTACGCACTGTTCATCGTGGTGGTCGTGATAATGCAAATGTACGACACTAGAGAGGAGACTTTAAAAAGTAAGTTGCGGATTCCTTGACTTACGAAACGAATACGAAAGAAGACCACGCGAAAGTCTTTGCTTCCGTATTTAAGAATCTTGGGCGGTAAACTAGAAGTTTGAGAATTTGTAACTTTCAAAAAGTACATGTTTGCGTCAACAACATTTCCCGAATGTAAATAAAACCGTTATTCGTTTTAAGGAAGAGTCGAACTCATGAAAAACCTATATTCTCGAAATAAGTCTATGTTCAAAATTTCACACGATCGGCATGCGTTCACAAACTATTTCTGCTCTGTAACAGAAAATTTTTTTATAATCCTTGTAAAAATGTGAAAAAGATGACTAGCCTCTTCCTTATCGCCTATAGAAAATTTTCACCGTACTAAGTATCGATCCTCTTTCCCGAGAACATTCTTATGTACTTCCAGCCAGGATCCCAAGTGTACCCGATCCAGACGTCCTGCATACTTACTTGGCGAACAGGGACACAGGCGCCATTCCCAAGATTCCCGCTAGAAGCCGACCTTTTGGCTTACGTGCCAAGCTGAGTACGTCGGGCGTCGTTTTTACGACTCATCGCACATATCCATGCCTTTAGATCCTTTGAATTTGTCGATAGTTCAAATTTTTTTCCAAAATCTTTGACATCTTTTGTTTTCTTTTTTATATCAAGTATTTGTAAGATATATGGATCTTTATATTCAAATTATTATTTATTTAAAGGCACATTTTTCATCGTAAATGTAATTTGTTGTCATAATTATTTATCATTCACTTTTGTAATCAATATTTTTATTTTAAACCATTTGCAATTAAACGCGATATAATTATTTTTAATATACGAGCGCAAGAGCAGAATAAGTTTGCAATTGAATGCATTATAAAATTAATGACCTTTACTTTAAAAAAAGTCTTTGCATAATGCAACATAAATATTATTAAATCTATGTTTATATATGTTCGTGCAAGTTAGATATGGCCATCGCAATGGAGGTAGAGAGAGCCAAAATACGAGGCGATCCTATTCAATTGAGTCCAGAAATTAGCGACTACGATATCGATCGACCAAAAGGTCTCTTTAAAGAATTTTTGTACGATATCAATCCTATCAGCAAAGAAGATTGGAAGAAATCGAATAAATTGCTTAAAATTGTTTTGGTTGTACGTGCACCCATCATGTTTCTACTACAGTTGTTTATACCGGTTGTAAATCCTACTGTCGAAAAGAACGGCTGGTCAAAACTATTGAATTGCTTACAATTGTGTGTGACTCCTACGATTGCATTATTTTTATTAAACGGTTAGTTCTCCATTTGTATATCTACAAAAATTTTTCCGCGAATAAAAAATAAAATAAAATAAAAATAAATATAGATAGATTTTATTTTTTAATATAAATAAAATTTGTTTTTTTGTTGCATGCATTAATGCAGAATAAGATATTAAAAATGTATTGTTTATTGCTTTTGGCATTTCTCTCGTGTTCTCTTGCCACGCAAATAATTTTTCAACAGAAAACGCATTTCATTGCAACATATAGAGCAATGTGAAATGCAGAGGGGTAATCAATAACGTATATAATAGCGATATTGATATAATATAACATTCGGTACCACTCAACTTCAATTTCATGTTAACTATTTTATTGCAGTTTGGCAAACGACTTTCGGCAATGTGCCAATGGTGTCGATATTCCTGGCTGTCGGCGCCGTAATTGCTGTAATTGTATTTCTAACGACCCACGTGGACCGTGTACCAAAGTTTCATAATGTGAGTACTTTTCTTTTCTCCTCGGGCGCAAGAAAATGGTCGAACTATTACATTATTGGTGCTCGTGACATCGTTACGTTATATAAAAAAAAAATTCGATGCTTTACTAGTACGATAAACCACGTAATAGTCCTCAATTCTAGGTCTTTGCGTTTTTGGGTTTTCTGGCTGCTATGTTGACGGTTTATTTGGTGGCCGGAGAGGTCATGGCGGTACTTCAATGCATAGGATACGCATGCAGTATATCCGATGCCATGCTGGGCATCACTTTTCTTGCTTGGGGGAACAGCATCGGGGGTGAGAGACATGTGAAAAATGCTTCTTGCATAGCACTTGAAGATAGTATGCATAGTAAAGTAACCGCAGTCGACAAGACCGTATTTTCTTAGATTAAATGTCCAAACGCGACGAAAGAAAAAGCCGATGTTAATCGAGAGAATCGCTATTTCAACACATTTTCTTTTGATTCTTAAATTATAATTCTTTCAATAATTTTTAGCAAAATTAATGTTTAGCTTAGTTCGGTAACGAGAGCTCTATTGTTTATGTTCAAATATCTATCTGCAAGATAATCCGCAACTTTATAGATCTCATATCGAATACGGCCATCGCCAGGCGGGGATTTCCACGCATGGGATATGCAGCCTGCTTCGGCGGACCGATGTTTAACACTCTACTGGGACTAGGGCTGACTTATGGCATCGACACCGCTGTCGATCCTGAACAACTGACGAGGATTAGGATCAGCAATATGGCACCCGGCTGCCTAGCTTTTCTCCTGTGCTCTCTAATGGCCACTATAATTTATCTCAACATTAAGGGAGCTATAGCGCGTCGTTCTTATGGCGGTCTCTTATATTCGATCTACTTTGCTTTTATTCTCATACAATTTTTAAGCGAATTACACTTTATACATCCGCTCGGCACCGATTTCAGACCCGACGTGTACGATCTGTAAGACTTAATATATATACGGATTTTTTATGTACTTATACTGTTATAAAAATATAAATTAATGCGAAGCGTTATTTACAATTAATTATAAATTATTCTCTATTTTCCGAGACAGCATTAAGTGCTACGAGATAAGGTATCCGTGAGGGAGGAAAAAATATGCAAGAACGTTTCTCTTTCATGAATTATGTTAAATGAGTCAGGATTATACGGATACAGGCAAAAATGCATTTTTAACGTCAGACGGAAGGCGAGCTTCCCGCTGGAAAATGTTTGGGCACCGGATATATATGAGAAGGAGGAAAAGGCGGATAGGCGAGCACCGTCAGGTCGTTTTTAGACATTTCCCCGGAGAGAACGAGGTGTCCCGTTTCCGACCGAAGCCGGTTAGTATGGCCACCATAACGCCGAAACGGAAACCACAAGTCATGAGGCGGTTAGGAGTCTTGGTAACGCGTCACTTTTAAATTTTACATTGCGCCGTACATCATGGTATACCTCGAGTGTTGCACGGACTCGGATACCGTCGTAATTGAATCCGTTATTAGGAGAGGGACACATTTCCAGCGCAAACGCCCCTTGCACAAACGTCTCTCATTTTCTTTCAAATGCGATAAAAAATGGGCGCGAGTTATTTTTTTCTCCTTTTGCGCCATTTACGTCTCATTCTCTTACATATATATCCTTTTAATCGATTACAAAGAGTCCCACTTCTGTCGCATTATCTTGTAATGACTGTTCTTTCGCCAATTTATAGCCAATTGTTCTTCAACAAAAACGCTGAAACATTCATAATTTTCTTTTTTTTCGTAATAATTAACGATTTAAAAAAAAGAGCTTGTAACTGACTAAGCTTCTCAGAAGAGAAAATAGATAGTACGATATCTTTCACTTCAGTTTGTTTTATGAGAAGCTTAAGAATTTGACTAAAAGCATAATTAAAAGAAAAAAATGGAAGAAAATTCTATTCATCAAATGCGCCCATTACTGAATTTCTTTTGTAAAAAATGGAAATATAATACGAGTAAGTCAATGGAAACAGATGCTGCGTTGACATTGCTTATTCTCTTTTACGCCTTCCCATCTTTCTGTTTTCTCCACTACAGATATTTCTGGAGAGAATTGCTTCTACATAGTAGTGCCTTTCAACGTGTGTACCAAGATAAGTCTCCATTGTCTCTATACGAAAGTTTAATTCCAAATCACCTTTACTTTTCGTTTCCCTTTTTGCTCTATCAAAGTGCGGATAAAACAATGAACTAGGATGGCTTGTCGCGGAAATAGACTAAAGTTTCACTACAGCAAAATCTGGATTTTCCTCGACGTGCATGTGGGAGTTCTTTTGTAAAGAAGCTTTAGGAAAAATGATTTAAAAATGAATTTTTTTAAATAAAAATGTATATTGGAAATGCATGTTGGAAGAAAGTTATTTGAGTTTTTTTTTCGAAAAACAACATTGGAAAATTAATCTCCTGGATTTAGTGCATTATTGATCGATATTTTAATTCTCGAATTTTGAATTCTGATACTATTTCAACATGTTCGACACGTGTAAAATCCGTGTATCCGACGTAGTAATTCATTGCGCTCAATTAATTTGTCGTACAAAATGCGCGACACCTGTTGTTCTCGATATACATAAATAGTGTTTAATTGTATGCAATCAATATTGATCTCAATATAAAATACATCCCGTTTAACGTTCACCAGAAATGTATGTTACCGAACGTTGCTTCGAAAGCCGACAAAAATCACATACGAAGGATTTACTTGCATATTTAAGCTTATTAAATTATTTTTAAAATATAAAACAAACATTAACTAATAATGCTACAGAAACAGAGCATTATATTAAAAACAGGAATTTTCTGTAAACACAAAGGTATAACAGAGATATCAGACAACGGCGTACTGACGTGACATCGCGTCTGCTTGCAGTCTATGTCTCTTTGTGCTTCTCGTTCTTAAGTATTCAACAGTCAACGAACAAGTATTCAAAGCCAGCGACACTCGAAACTGCATACGTTCTACGTGCGAAGATACAGAATTCCTTGTATATTTCGCGCATGATTATCTTCCTTCTATCCAATTATCTAACTTTGGAAACGCGCCTGCCCAGCGTCCATTATCAATAATATCGATATTATGTTAAAAGTAAAGTTTAGCAATAAATTTTCGTCGTGCTTTTTAATGAAAGAAGAATTTGCTGACGAATATTGAATAAGTTCGCGGAAGTAAAGAAAACTTTATCGAACCATATATTAGGGTCGGTCCCCTCGTCTAGACGAAGGACTGGATCGGTGCCCAGCATCCGTAGATAAGATTCCTGTCTAGTTTCTTCCGTGCCAACGCGAACTAACGACCCTCTCATCCGGATCGCTCGCTCAAGGGTAGCGAAAATATTCAACATTACCAAATCGAGAAGCATCGCAAGAAAAGAACATTATCATTCTTTTTACAACATTACGAACACGTTTGGTATGCGTAAAGTTGCAAAATGGTTTGCAAAATGCATCTGCTTTAAACGGCTTTAAACTATCTAAATAAGTCGGGGAAAACGTTTTAGCACGTACGTGTCTATACATGGCTGTACGGTGAATTGAATTATTGAATTTAAGTAATTCCGGCAACATGGCCAAATCTGCAAAAGCATTTTCTCTCGGCGCATCAATTTTCTGCGGAACACTATCGTATTATCAGTTCATACATGTGCCGGCACACCATTTCGAAACAGTACCAGTGGTAGTGACTCTAATGTAGTTTAATGTTAAACGTTTGCCCAGAGTACACTTCGCCGACGTATCAATTATCTACTTTCGCGTAACATTTATGCTACTATATTACTCTCCGACGGCGCACGTCCATAATCATAAATGAATATGGAATTACCGGCTAATAGACCATTAATTAATCAATATTAAATACGCTTCAGTGTAAAGTAACGTGTAGTATTTTTCGCAGAGATAACATTCACGCGAGCTGCGATTAGTTCGCATACAAGGAGCTTCGATATAACGTCGGTTTATCATCAATTGTCGGGTTATTCCCAACGTTTTCAACTCGGAAACTCAATAAAAGCGGATGTCCGGATGTAATGTATAGCATTACTCTTATTTCTTACGATGGCATCGAGGTCCGTGGAATCTCCAATCGATGCTCGATATCAAGGCTAAATAAAGTGCCCACGGTACCGTTATTACTTCCGGCAAACTTCTATCATTAATTCGACCGGAGAACTTTAAAAGGAAATGCGGCTGCAATATCTGTCTCGTGTTTAACATCATTCAAGTTTTTATTCTCACCAAAAATAATTTTTGATTGATATAATTGTTGCTTTACTTATAAACATTTCTACACCATTAGTCTTGAAAAAGTCTAGCAAAATTTAATTTTACAAAACAAAAATTTCTTAAATAATCCATGAAATAATCAAATAAAATAAGAAACAAAGTTAAAAATAATTTCTAATCTTAACTTTCACCAAGATTAATTCATTAATATTATTATATAGATTTTAAAAACGTGTATAATATACGTTATAATATAAATGTAAAAATAAATAAATGTAAAAGCTTTAAATAAAAATGCAATTTATTAAAATATTAAATTTATTAAATAATTATGAAAATTTTGTAAAACAATTTATTAAAACTTATTTCTCCAAAAATAGATTATCAAAAGAGCATTACCGGAGGCAAAAATGTAATAAAGTGATGCATTTATATGATATGATGTAACTTACCACAATATTGAACAACAAGCCCGCTTTTATCAAGCAAAAATTATTATTTCATTCTATACACTTACACATTTGTTTGCATAAAGCTAGAAATAATGACAATAATGCCGATGTCGCATGTGTATCGCTCGATTTAACTTCCGCGTTAATGCGCGCCACGAGCGATAACGTTTTGCAGTATTACCGACATTTGTTATCGACATACATATTTCGATGATTAGTATAAACGTGTATTTTGATACAAAAATTAATTGAACCATATACCGTACATTGATTGCACCACGTTGCATTCATTTAGTGTGTATGTTATAAAAATAGCTAGCACATCATGCTTTGTAAAAATCCAATGCAAAAGAAACGTAAAAACTATCTGACAACTGCTGAAAAAAAATCCGACAAAAACAATGGATACAACTACCTATTATTTCAAAAAGTACAGTGCGGAAGAACGGGATTAAAAATTCGTTGAACTATCTTTACGGGCTTGAAAATGTATTATGAAAATGTATGAGATTGTTTTTGCGCAGCAAAATTTAAAAAGTGATACGTCCTTATGATACATACGCACATCGCAACGGTCTCATCTCTCATTTGCTTCCGCTATCGAGCACTCTCAGCCTCCACCTGGCGGGATCGCAAAGTTTGATATTCTGCCGGGGAATATATTGTAGGCAGATAAAATATATTACGCTTGCGAGATATTATGCTCGTATTACTTGTACCGTCAAAATAGGAAACGGCGCAACAGTGATAAACTGCGTGCTTATTCGTAATTCGAATTGGATAGACCGATACTGCTAGGTGTTTCTTTTTACGGTTTATATCGATGATTTATGACGACAGGGCGCATTGCTTATAGCACCACAAACTTCTACACGTTGACGGAATTCATAATTCAGGTATTACAAGAAATTTAGCTTCGATATTCGAAAGTCATGTATGCGATATGTGCGAGATGGATGTGAGATGTTCGGATTCTGCTGAATCACGATTTCATGAATTATTGACGACAGCTAAACTAGAAATTGATTTTCTGATGTTAGAAGCAAGATCGTATTCGATTCAAACATTTTTATCTCCGAGCGTTATGTATTGAATGTTTTGTGTTGATGACACCGCTCGACCATCCGATACCCCGGAAAAATTAATCTCTTCGTTGGAAAATCAATACGCTACACAATATCGCCGGCAATGAATAAGTATACGCTTATAGAACATGTAGAAAATGCAACTAAAGTTGTCAGAGATAGACAGACTATATATGT